AATTAAAACTAATTTTATGTGAGGATTTGTGAATAAATAATGCACACGTCTTCATATTTTTTTATTATTAGGAAATGAAACATGTACTTCAGTTCAAAAATCCTATTCAGTGTTTCCAGAGCATTTCACATCCGAATGGTACTAGAAACTCACATTAATGGATGGCACTCCTTTTTCTTTTCGGTCTGTTTTCAGACAGTGTCTCTCTGTAGCCCCACCTGTCCTGGAACTCACTATGTAGACCAGGCTGGCCTTGAACTCACAGAGATACACCTGCCTCTGCCTCCCAAGTGCTGGAATAAAAGGTGTGCACCAACATATGTGGCAAATATCACTCTTTTTATCACAGTCTTGTGGGAACCATACTCTGACATTATCAATCTATTTAGTTTCCTACCATTCAGATATGGCAGAAAGCATATACTTTACCTAATTTGGGGAACAGTGTGTGGCCTACACGTAAATCACCTTTTACTAAAATAATTGTCATTTTTACAGAATTTCCTTGTTCAAGACATTCTGTGAGCATAAAGATCTTCAGGATGGAGAAAATTTCATGTGGATAGCAAATGATGATATGAACATGAAAATTTCCGCTGACCTAACACCATGTCATAGCAATGTGTGTGGAAAGGTGTCCATGTGTCATTCGTCCTTTAATAACCATCCCACCTCTCACTCTCAATACAAATCATGTGAGCATTGGTTGTATGGAAACAAGCTGCAGGACTCTAACTCTTTTAGAAGCTGTCAAACACATATGAGAACTCACACTGTGAATGGACCTTTTGAATACAAGATAGGCTTAAAGTATTTTGGTTTCCAACATTTCTTGGTAATAGATCAGGAAACACACAGTGCCAAAACACACTATCGATACAAAGAATACAGAAAGGCCTCTGCTCATGGCAGTCCACTTCTCACTTCTGGAGGAACTCAAACTGAAAGAAAGCATTATCAGTGTAATATATGTGGGAAACAGCTGAGTTCTTCCACTTCTCTTCAAGGACATGAAAGGATTCATAGTGTTGAAAAACCACATGAATATAAACAATGTAGTAAAGCTTTTAGGTATAACAGTCATCTTCAAAGGCATGAAAAAACACATACTGGAGAGAAACCCTATGCATGCAAAGAATGTGGTAAATCCTTTACACTATACAGTTATCCTCGAGTACATGAAAAGATTCATACAGGAGAGAAATCATATGAATGTAAACAATGTGGTAAAGCCTTTAGACATAACAGTGATCTTCAACGTCAAGAAAAAATGCATACTGGAGAGAAAACTTATGTATGTAAACAATGCAATAAAACCTTTAGATCGTACAGTAAACTTCAAGTACATGAAAAAATCCATACTGGAGAAAAACCATATGAATGTAAACAGTGTGGTAAAGCCTTTAGATGGAACAGTAATCTTCAACGTCATGAAAAAATGCATACTGGAGAAAAACCATATGAATGTAAACAATGTGATAAAGCCTTTAGACATAACAGTCATCTTAAAAGTCATGAAAAAACACATAATGAAGAAAAACCATATGAATGTAAACATTGTGGTAAAGCCTTTAGATATAACAGTGATCTTCAAAGTCATGAAAAAATGCATACTGGAGAGAAACCCTATGCATGTAAACAATGCGATAAAACATTTACATGGTACTGTAACCTTCGAGGACATGAAAAAATTCATACTGGAGAAAAACCATATGAATGTAAACAATGTGGTAAAACCTTTAGACGTAACAGTCATCTTAAAAGTCATGAAAAAATGCATAATGAAGAAAAACCATATGAATGTAAACAATGTGGTAAAGCCTTTAGACATAACAATCATCTTAAATGTCATGAAAAAACGCATAATGCAAAACCATATGAATGTAAACTATGTGGTAAAGCCTTTAGACATAACAGTCATCTTAAAAGTCATGAAAAAACGCATAATGAAGAAAAACCATATGAATGTAAACAATGTGGCAAAGCCTTTAGATATAACTGTTATCTTCAACGTCATGGAAAAATGCATACTGGAGAGAAACCCTATGCATGTAAACAATGCGATAAGACCTTTACACAAAACTGTCATCTTAAAAGTCATGAAAAAATGCATACTGGAGAAAAACCATATGAATGTAAACAGTGTGGTAAAGCCTTTAGACATAACAGTGATCTTCAACGTCATGAAAAAATGCATACTGGAGAGAAACCATATGAATGTAAACAGTGTGGTAAAGCCTTTAGATATAATGGTCATCTTAAAAGCCATGAAAACATGCATACTGGAGAAACACCACATGAATGTAAACAATGTGGTAAAGCCTTTAGATGTAAAAGTGATCTTCAACGTCATGAAACAATGCATACTGGAGAGAAACCATATGAATGTAAACAGTGTGGTAAAGCCTTTAGATATAATGGTCATCTTAAAAGCCATGAAAACATGCATACTGGAGAAACACCACATGAATGTAAACAATGTGGTAAAACCTTTAGACGTAATAGTCATCTTAAAAATCATGAAAAAACGCATACTGGAGAAAAACCCTATGCATGTAAACATTGTGGTAAAATGTTTAGAAATAACAGTCATCTTCAGAGACATGAAAAAACTCATTGTAGAGACAAACCCTATGCATGTAAAGAATGTGATAAAACCTTTAGATGGTATAAAAGCCTTTGAGTACATGAAAAATTCATACTAGAGAAAAACCATATGAATGTTAATAGTGTGACAAGCTGTTAGACATAACAGTCATCTTCAGAGTCATGAAACAAATGCATCCTGGAGGAAAACCATATGAATGTAAACAATGTGAAAGAGCCTTTACACTATACAATTTTCTTCGAGCATATGAAAAAATTCATACAGGACTGAAATCATTTGAATGTAAACAGTGTGTTAAGTCCGTTAGGTGGCGAAATTGTCTTAAGTTACATGAAAAATCTCTTATAGGACAGAAATCATATGAATGTAAACAACGTGGTAAAGCTTTTAGATGGCACAGATATATTAAGTTACATGAAAGAAGACATATTGCAGAAAACGTGTATGAATGTAAATAATGTGGTGAAGACTTCAGAAGTCAGTGATGTTCAGAGACATGACTAGTTCATACTACACAACACCCTGTGAATAGGAACAGTATGGAAAAGCCTTTAGAAGTCAATCATCTTTCTGTGAAAGAATTCATATTTTAGTAAGCCTATGAATGCAAACAGTGTGGTAAAGCCTTCAATGTCACACTTATCTTCCTTTATGTGAAAATTCACCTTGGACCAAAGTGAAATGAATGAAAGCAATGCAAATCCTACACTTGTACATTTATCTTAAATTACATGAGAAATTCATACTGGAGAAAGATGCTGTCAATACAAAGAATGTGGAAACCTTTGCATTTCATATTTCCTTTTGATTACAACAGGAAATTAATTGTGGCAGAGCATCCCGTGAATGTGACCAATGTCTATTGTTGTTAAACTTCCTAAATTACGTAGCAGAGCAGTTTCAGAACAGTGTTCTTTGAATGTCAAAAAATCATGGGAGAAAATCCCTTGAAATGTAAAATCCAAATGCTGTTAATGTTTTGTATGAGTTCACTTCAGTTAGGGAAAATTCACTCTCAAACCTCTAAGAATATAAACAACAGGGGAAAGGACTGAGCTGTCACAGTTCCCATCAGCAGCAGTGTTGCATGAGACTTTTCCTGGGGAGACCTGAGCAAATGTCTACTCACCTGAGATAGGAAAATAATAAAACAAAAAAGGAATTCTGCCAAAGTCTGATTAGGTGAACCAAGGAGTTTACTGGAGTTACTTCCAGGAGCATGGACAAGCACAGATAGCTGAATTACGAAAAAGCCCATCCAGTCTAAGTGATGACTCATGGAAGCTGCAATCTGAAATCTCTGCACGACTGGCAGGCAGCCTGTTTAGTTGGGTAATTTCTTCTTTTCAGAGTTATTTACCACTTCTATAACGTTGTGGAGTGGCCTTGGGAATCTTGTAAATTTGAGCATTCCAGAATATGTGTTTACTTCTTGAGTCTCATGCCTCCCTGTGAGGGGCACTGCGTCAATTTAGAGAGAATTTCCCCAATGACACGCCACCCCTTCCTCTGACTCTTACATTTCTTTGTAATGCTTTTAGATCTTTGTGGGTTTTCTCAGGATCTTCATCATTCATTCTGAGACTTTGTGGTATACCTTCCATTGTGAAAGGAAGTTTCCTTCCATGATGGATTGCAGCTGACATAGCAGTGACATATTAGACATGAACTGAAATGTTGAGAAGGGAATTTGAGAAGCACATGACATCCACCAAACAAAACAATAGCAGTTGCTTCACGGGGCTCATGAAGTCTCCAGCCACAAGGTTTGTTCCTGTCTTATAATATCAGACACAAATTTTCTCCTGTGGGGTGGGCTGTAAATACAATCTAAAAGCTGTTGGACTCAAACAATAGTGCTACTGTAGCACCAGGAGGCCTATTCTGCCTGTCCTATTGGTACTGGTCACACAGGGTTTATAGATGAACAGGACTCTTGGCAGTTCACCAGCAGTCAGCATTGCACCTGGTATATGCAAGCCAGCTAGACTGGAGGAAGCTTCCACCTTATTCCAGCATAATTTCTCCATGTTCTGCAAGCAAAGCAAATGATGTCTTCAGCAATACTGGCAATAGTCTTCATGATTTGTGGAATAGATAACCACCTGCCATTGCCACCCACGTGCTGGTGTGAAATTCCTGTGCCAATACACCTGGCTACTAATAACCTATTTATACAACCTACCCCCAATAGGTTTCTGAGGTAGAACTGATTGAAGCTGATTGCCTTTAGCTGAGGTCTGTGCATCAGTGTTTGTGAAATGAGTAGCCTTGTCATGGTCAATTCACAGTGAGTTGGGGGAAATCCTTGTTGGTGGCTTTGTCTCTTCCTCACTTGTGTGGAAATTCCTGTAAGAGGCCTGTGACGGTGTCCACACTTATGAGGCCATATTTTCACCTGTCACTGACTGACATATACAATATAGTTTATTTGTCAGGACTTAAGGCACAAATTGGCTTACACATATGTCCTGTAAAATCATAGCTCCAACCTTTGTTTATAAACAGGCAAAACGTGTTGGCACCTAAATAAAGATGTCTGAAGAAAAAGCAGTTTGTCCTGGATTCATGTGTTTTCTCTCTGCTGAGTGTGCCTACTCCTGTGGCTGCTGCTGTTGCTGCTACAATCCTCCAGTGACAGACTCAGCTCCATTAGCCTTCCATCATGGACTAAATAGAACAACTCTAGAAATTTTTCAGATCTCTGCCAGAATGGTATTTCTGAGGCACCCAGCTGTGTGGACTGAGCAACTTCTGGATTGTCCTCTCTATCCTGCACATAGGCATTGCTAGACTATCAACAGCATGATGAGCTCATCTACTGAGCCCCTTTCATGGCCCACAAATCTTCTGTTGCTTCTATTCTTCTCCAGCATTTTTTCTTGCATAGTTTCCAGTGACAGGGTGGATTGTAGAGAAACAGAATTGGTGGATGGTGATCTTCCCCTGGCCGAGTTCTGCTGTAGGATACACAGTTCTTTGCATTCATTCTGGCATATCACATAAACTGCACTAGAGTAATCCAGTCGTTTTAAGAAAAACAGTTGCCAAGTATCTCTTTTAGAACTTAAATTTCAAACAAAATGTTTAATTTTATTGTGGAAAAAAATGTCTTCAGGACCGTTAACATGTTTTGCTTGTTTTCCTATACAAATTTTATAAAATTTATTTATTTTTATTTGGCATATATTGGTCTTTTGCCTGCATGTCTGTCAGTGCACTCTTGTGCAGTTCCTGCAGAGGTCAGGAGAGGGTTTTGGACCCTCTGAAATGGGATGATTAAAGAGAAAAGACTACTGCTTTTTGGATAAAATAGATTTTGTATGGTAGTTTCATTCTAATATATGAATTATTCCCCAATGGAAACATGAAAAAGTGGTGACAAAAATCAGAAAGCTTCAAACGATTATTACTGGTTGTGGAAGTTACAAAGAAGTTTATAAGTGATAAAAGGGAAGATTACAGTATGTAAAAGATTATATTCTAGGAAATATAGACTGTTACTAGGTACTTATTTCAGTAACTGGCCTACTCTAGACATCACTTTTAAATTTTGGGTCTTAGAGTTTTTGACAAATTAAGACAGTCTAAAATGGCCAGCAAATATAAGCACAACAAAAAGCCCAGTTGAGTACTTGAATGTTTCAAATTGTTTTCCTTGACTGATCAGTCAGTGTCTATGAGGTCACAGAGACCTGAAGAAGACAAGATTTAAGAAGGGGAGTGATTACCATAGGTGAATATAAACCAATGGAAAAGAATACTCAATGGAATTCTAAAAGAAAGTAGGCTTCCCACCCCCTAACCCCTGAAAGTAAGTGAAGTCACTGATGAGTACACTGTCAGTTTCCCTCATGTGAGGATGGGCCTTCCACTCCAGTGATGGCTGAGCTTGAAGGATAATGCTGGAAAAGGTTTGGTGGTGGGACCCCCATTCAAAATGTTACAACCTACCACCAAAGCATCTCAGTAATTCTGGACATCATAGGTAAGGTGATTTTATTTTCCATACTGAGGCTTGTTCTCTGTCTTAGCAATTTGCCAGTTTTCTAAATGGATTCATTGGGAATCCATTGTTCTACTCTTGGGAAAACTGAAGCCTAAGAGCTGTTATTTTCAGCTTTATTCCCCAAAATTCCAGATATATTGAGATTTGTATAACCCTCCTGTATAATGAAAAGATAAGATCTGACACTGAGAGATGTTCCCTAAAGGTTCCAGCTAGACTTTGTAACTGAATAGCCTAAATGTGTCCTAGCTTCCACACCTTATAGGCATCTACTGAGGCTACAGTCATGGCTCTGAAATCTGTTTCTAAGGATTTAAATGAAAGTCTGTCTTAGAGAAAATCAGAGAAGAAATGTGTGGTCATCGGCTCTGGCTGCTCTCCCCCAGCTATGATCGCTCTCCAACTCTCTGTTCCTCCAATCAATCGTCCGGCCAAGACCCAGGGCTGGTGAGGATAGTAAGGGATCCCAGTTATATGCCTAATATTCCAGTCAGAGCAAAAATGGCTGAAAGTAGCAGAAACATAATAAGGACCATTATCTGTTTTTAATTTGCCAAGGAACTCCCATAAGGACCATGGCATATTTGACAGTCCTTATGGCATGAGAAGCCATCTCACCAGAACAGGCCAATGCAAAATGGACATTGTGTCAATAATATGATGGATATACTTGAGTTTGCCAAAAGGAGAAAAATGAGTGACATCCATTTGCCGTTGGGGCCAAGGCCTCTAGGGAGAGTTCCAGCGGGTTGTAATGGTCCCAGAGGTAGAAGAGGGGCACAAGAGGGGCAGGCATGGACCAAATGCTTGTAGCTCTGAATTGGTAGAGTGGGTAGAAGCCTATGTATAGCTTGGGGAGAAAGATGAAAATGGGCATGTAAGTCTCTAGCTTGTTGAATTATGGTGGAGTCTAGGCGCTCAGGATCAGTTTGTTGGTGGCAGCATTGCCCTCTGCCAGAAGCCCCCGGAGATTGGTATGAGAGCACTAGTGTTGAATATACCAAGGGGCAGAGCGCTGCTCGAGTAATAGTTGTAATGAGGAGAGCAACAAATCAAGGGGACTCTGGCGTGGTCTGACAGCTGCAAAGGCCAGATGTTTTAGAGTCTGAACTACATAAGCACTGTCAGAAAAAATATTACAGGGAGTTGTAGGGAGATCCTGAAAGACCTGTAACATGGCTGAGAGCTCTCCAAGCTCTACAGATCCCTGGAAAGGGAAAACGTTATGTGAGGAGAGTTGTCCTTCCTGGTAAATTACATAACCAAATTTGCATTTACAAGAATCAGTAAAGATTAGAGGAGCCTTAGGAAGAGGGTTACACTTTGGGAATGCCTGGGGAAATAGGGACAGGGGAAGCTGTCTTATTCTTTGAAGGAGTTTATGTGTAGGATAATGATTGTCATATTTCCCCTGATAGACTAGTAGGAGAGTTTGGAAGCCAGGGTTGTCAAGGAACAATGACTGGAGCATGTGAAGT